ATTAAAAATAAAAATTTTATTTTATTTATAACAAATATTTAACAAATATTTTAAAATTATAAATCTAAAGTTAATTATGAAACTATGAATTCAATAAATATATAAAATCATAGGCACTGACAATTCACATTTATTTTTTCTTTACATTCATTGGAATTCCAAATAAAAACGACTGTAAAAAACATATTACCTGTACAAATAGAATTTACATACACTTTCGTTTCTACATTTTTCCACGTGATACTCTATCATTTATATTCTAATAAATAATATGATATAGCATAAAACAATAGAAAAATCTGATTATATATTTGCAGAAAGGGATTACTACTACGGAGGATACACCCGTGTTTGACAGAACTAGAGTGTCCTTGGAAATACCCTCAAGTGCATTCGGCACTGGCTTCACTTTAATTACTAACGTTAGCAAAGTTCTCAACAGCGTAATTCTAGTAAGTACAATGCACATATATCACTATTAAAGTAATACATACTAATAAAATATATAACCTTAACTTGTTTTCCGCTGACGCACGAGTTTAATTATATGTTCCTTTTCCGTTATTATGATGTAACATTTTTCTAGTACAGCTTAATCGATTAGATTTATCTTCAAATCACTTTTTATTCACTTCACTATATTTGCTATAAAAAAACGAGAAGCAATTTCTCAATAGAGACAGAACTATCAATTTCCATACAGTTGCCTTTAATGATCATTTATATTTTTCAGAACTCAGCCCGTCGGACGCAGACGTTGCTGGAAATCTTCAAACCGTTATTTCGTGGTAGTTTCGCCATAAAGGGTTTACCATCGGATAACCACAAATAAAAAGACCGATTTTTATTTTATATTAGTGCTATTAATACCAATTAATTGCTCAATGATCATCGTTTCTTGTTGAAAATGTTCCACAATTTCCGATCATGTTTCTTGAATAGATATGTATTGTTGATTAGAGTTTGTGAGGACTATTCCAAAGTTTTCTTGATCATAGAACGTTTTAGATCCTAGATTTAGTTAAGATATCCCGATAGACAAATTGTGAAAATATTGCAATTATGGCATCATGAATGACAAATTTCGCAATAAGCGTGTTAAAATGGTTTATTATAACAATAGTTTTGTAAAAATAAAATTTCTAAATGATACTTGTTAAAAATTAGACAAATTCAATTTGTGATGTAAATATTTTATAATTCAATTTTTTTTCAAAAATACAATGAATGAGATAGCTGGCAGTATATTGAAAAAGCAGATCAAGACACGTTATCTAATTATTTCCAAATGCTCAAAGAGCATTCTTGAAAGATTGGTTCATATGCATCTAAAAATCATTTTGATTAAAAAATTTCAAATTTAGTTTACTGAATGTGTAATACTTTATGTTGCAATATTTTTACATTATGATTTAGGAATAATTGTGCATTTTTATGAGCACAATTATATTTTTAAACACAGCTAAAATAATTTTTTCCATTTTATTGGATAATTCCTTTTCATTTAATTTAGCAATTCCATTAAGACAATTTATCATATAGTTATCATATAGTTATTCTTTTGCCGAAATATTATGTCAAAATTAATTAAGCAAACAATTATTAATATTTAAAAGATCAAGGTTTTTACATCTGTTTTTGTAAATAATTGCAGATTATAAATTTATGTATTTCATATAATTTCCTGAATGTCTTATCAGGGATAAGACCGTAATATTTGCAGAAATTTCTTCGCTGTTGTTATTAAATAATTTATGACGCCACATTTTTGCCTCATGTTTTATTCATTATTTTTGCACTTATATATAAGTATAGATATATAATATTTCCTGTTTTATTATTTTTTAAAATGACTCGAAAATTGGCGTCATAAGTCAGAAATAAATACGCTTTTAACAATTTGAAGCGTATATTATTATATAAAATAGATATTTACAATTATGAACGTGTCGAAACATGTAGATAATAATGTTACTTTAAAAATAATTTAGTCAAATTTTAATTTGCGTGATATAGTATATGATAAAATAAAGAAAAAAAGAGCACCAATCAAACAAATTTACATCTAAAAATATTAATTTACTTTAGCTTACTGTAAACAAATATAAAAAGATCTTTAAAATATTTTTTGTATATAACTAAAACTTTGTTTACAATTTTTTTGTTATAAATTTTATTTATTAATACTGCCATAATATGTATAATTCAATTCAAATAAATAAAAAAATATTATCATGCAGACTTTTTATTTTATGATATGTTACCTGGAAGTTGTACGATGAGATAACAATTTCTTATTTATCAAGTACTAATATGTTACACAATAAACAGATTGCATAAAAATTTTTGCATCAATAACATGTGATGTTACTTAAGGATTTATTATCTAGATAACAGCGCGTATTATACAAGACCAAGTGGTCAGGGTGTCACATCTAGCTAGAACTCGACCATGTAACATTTTGCCGTTCACGTAATAAGGACACCTGAAGCAGATGTAACGCTTTGCAACACGTGAATTCCTCATATATTAAGCAATAAACATTCTAATATTATCGAGAAAAAATAAAAAATTTATTTTTTTAAATTAAAATATATAGGGCATATCTTACGGGTTAAATAACGCTCACTAATCCTGCTGTTCTTAAATAAACAACTGAGTTGAAAAGTCCTCTACCATTTTACAATTTTTGCAATATTCTTTTTTTAGTTATTCAATAAGCAAAATATCTAAAATCGTCGTATAATATATAGGCTTTCTACAATAAGTCATTACTTAAGTTTCAAATCTTAAATCGTAATAAATTGATCAATCATAATCGATTATTCTTCTCATATTCAACTTTGATCAATTTCTTACGGCTAAAGACTTAAAGCTTAAATAATGGCTTATTGTAGCAAAATATTTCAAAAATATTCAAAATATTTCACAAAGAATATTGGAAGATATCTTAAAATTATCTTATGCATTGATTTCATCCGTTTATTCAGCAATCTTTAAAAATTATTATCTTGTTAATTATTGCAAAATTGCAAAATTGTAGAGAACTTTTTGGCTTACGATCAGTTTTTATTAGGAATAGCACTATATAATTAGTGAACATTTATTATTTAAGATACACTCTGTATATATAATGTTAATTAAAATATTACTTGTATTTCATTGTTATATTGCATTAGAAAATTAATTATTAATATTTATTAATAAAATAGTAAATCAGAAAAAAGCTCGCATTTAATGATTATTTAGCTTTAGATCTTTATACCTATGTACATATTATATTATATGTGTCGACATCAGATTGGAAGCAAAAACATTTTACGTAATTCTAGGATCAGCGGCCTGTTGCATTATACTTTTGAAAAGAAAAATTAATGAGAGACGTGTAGCATTATGCAAAAATAAATTGTATGTGCAAAGTTCGAGAAAAAATTGCGACATGTGAGGAACGTAGATAAAAATAGTCAAGAATTCTACAAACGACGATAGTGTGACGCATTTAAACAAGTCATCCATTTAAATAAATAATCAATGCAATGTAATTTACACGTGTTACACGAAAATCATATGTGTATATTTCATATGCAAATGCAGTGTCAAACTAATAAAAACCAAACTAGTAAAAATAAAATTAGTCACGAATCTGACATTTTCGCAAAATCTTTATTTCTTTTTACATTTTCATATATAAATGCTTTTTTAAATAACAAAAATAGCACATATAATATAATTTTAGCAAAAGTATAAAACAAATAAATATAAATATTTATTTTATTATAAAGTAACATTTTTAAATTTACATGAAGCATTGCTGATTTGCATTTATGATATTATAAAGACATTTAAAGATAACATAACAAATTTAATAAATAACAATTGAACAATTACAGACACAATATCTAATTACGTAATCATGACAATTATCAAAATAACGGTGTTAAAAACGCATATTTCTTGTCGAAAAATCTTTGCGGCATTGTGCACAATAGCGGAACTGGCGAAGAATTTTGTTTTATTTACACGGAGAATACGTAAGAAGTATCGTAAAAATGTTGATGACCTTCGAGACCGATTCGAGATGTCGTGAGACAGAGAGAAATCATCTCTCGCTAGTGCTAGCTCTGCCGTCCTGCAAGATGCACTTGTTTTCAGTTCATTTACTGCGTTTATATGTACCAACGCGATAGATGCGAAATAACTTGTGATACAATTATATATCAGTGTGATACAATTAAAATAATAATATATAGCACAAAAGAATAATCTCTTATTAATAAAAATATCTGTCCAAGGTAGAAAGGTAAGATAGATTTAACTATATATTATATATATAAATATGTATTACATATATTGTATTATGTATTATATATGTATATTAGATGTGGGAAAAAGTTCGTGGCGTTTTTCTAATGCCATCTAACGGGAAAAAACGCCACGAACTTTTTCCCACACCTAATATTACATTATTGTATATGCACTCATTACTATCATTATTAGATTGATGATTAAATATTCTTTTTATTTCAGTACATTTATGTCATTCGAACATTTCAAATTCAATTAATTGGCGCGGATTTTCTTTTGCAAGTATTGCTTAGTTTATATAATAGTGACTATATTATTGATAATATTACGTCATTTTAAATGCTTATAATTTTCTAAATTAGTTTTATTTATATTAGTTTTTCTTTTTTTTCATTATATAATTTTAA